ACGACGCTGTAGCATTTTTCACTGCCTACATAGCGGCGAGGCGGCCATAATGTCATTTAATTAAACGCCAGAGAGCAGTTGCCCGGGCCTCCTGGCTGTTGTTTGCTGCTCTGTTACTTGTGTTACATTTTTGTCTTTTTTTTTTTTGGGTTACTTGTGCGGGGTCAGCGGCAGCTAAACGGTTAACCAAAGTTAGCGGGAAGCCGACTCCACATAATTTGGCCAACTGAGGGGAGGAGGGGCGAATGCTGAGGCCAAGGACCAGCAATTTATGTTCATTTGCATAGATATTAAAAATTGTTAGGAAGTCATTAGTAGGCATCAGTCAAATGACGCAGCCTGCATATAAATTAAGCATAATTTTATTAGGCGAACTCCCCGGGAAGGTCACCCACTTGACAAATGTCCGCGGGGGGCCAACACTGGAGATGGCCTGGCTCCGAAAAACGTGTGCTTGTTGTCGTATTAATTATTAGTTTTAATTGCGTTTTGTTTGTGTATCTGGGTGGGAGAGTTTTTTTTGTTTTGTTTTTGTTAACCAAATCAGCAATTCATCCCCCAGCGAAGTAAATCTCGTTTATCCCTGACCAAACCCACACATATATATTCCCTGTTTGACTTTGCCATTTTGGGCAAGGACGAAGGGCCTGCTCGAATAACCCTAAAAATTGTGTGCAATTAAATACTTTAAACCATAATGTATTTTTCACAAGTTGAGCAATGTTGACCATTTGGTTGCGGATGTGGTTGATGCCCCTATTCTGGCCCCACCGCACCGCAACCCTGCTGTTCAGTGTAAATTACATGCACAAGAGGCCAACAAAGAAAACTCATTTGTATTCCGAGACCCAAGGACCCCCACCGACCACTTAACCCCACACTGACCACCGCCCGCAAGTCAAAAGCTCAACCACAAGCAATTTTATTATTTTTTCCTTTGCTTCTGCTATTTTTTTTTGTGTGTTTTTTAACACATCCAGAGAGATAACTAATTCGAGTTGCGTCTGCTGTTTGCTTATCAAAATTTTAATTGCTTTTTTTTCGCTTTTTGCCAGCTGCCTTTGAGATTTGCCGCCGCGGCTTATCTATTTATTATGTGTTGTGTGGATTTGTTTGGCCAACTGTTCGATCTGGGCTTCCTTTTTGCCGAATCCGCCAGGGAGCCTTGGCGCCATCACAGCCAGGAACAAGTAGCCAGCTAGCTCACGTTCGAGCCCTGGCTTCCACCACGGGCAAAAACTCGCACTCGCACTCCCACTTCCGCATCCGCTCCGATATTAAATGGTGCGCGTAATTAGATTTTAAATTTATTGTTCTGTGTGCTGGTATTTATTTTGTCTGCCTTGGTGTGCATAACAATGCAATGGCTGCAATAAATAAATAAACAAAACGTGAATGTGAATTCAATGGCGCGGTATCTGCGTCTATGTTTGTGCAGGGATAGCTGGGCCTCCGAGGAGCAGCCCGATAGGATCTACACAGAATAAAAATGCACAGTGAAATCACAGCCAAATTTTTGGAATTTAAATTTTAAAGATATCGAAATAGAATAGTAATTACTTTGTATGTTATGCCAAAACATTTGACATCTTTCGAAATATATCCCTTGTACTAACAAACATCTTACGAAGCGTATAAAAATATTGAGATAGTTAGTTTTTTATTTTGTGTCATGTAAATTGTGAGAAGAAATAATACATTTTTAATAAAAATATGATAATTGTGATTTATTCATATTTTTAAAGTCAACATGAATACCCAATTAAGAGAAGTATATGTTGCTCTGAAGTACAAAATCGATAAAATTTTGCTAGAGTGCGTTCATACCAGCCTAAAAATGTTGAATTTCTTTCAATTCAAAAAAATTACAAACAGTTGGTCAGTACGGCAATTACTAACTTAAAGAAATGTAAAACATGTATGTAAAGTGATACCTTTTTCCGTCAGACTTTTACAAGTCCCAAAAACAAATATGTGTATATTTAGTTTCTCAAGTAAATTGCCAATGTTTCGCACAGTGTAATGGCAGCTGTGGCGCCTGGCCAAAATGGCTCCTTCAAAAGTAAATTGAATTTGGAAATCGATTACCTGATTGATGCTGCAAATCTCTGAATGCTCAATCATTGGTTAAGGTACACTTCAAACATGAGCAGATTTAAGAGTTAATCATGGGGCCTCGTTCACGTTGTACATGCACTCAGCCCGGCAAAGTCCGACCCCCTTTCCGACTAATTTATGGCTCATCTTTGCCGAGCTCCTGCCACAAAACTGCGGCCATCCGGCGACCGATTCATGCACTGTCATCCCAACCGCAGATAAGTGGCAACACAGACAAGATACTGAGGCACTGGAACACGGAGAGCTGCCATCAGACCATCCACTGAACGGACAGATGGACAGGTGGACAGTTGGACACGCGGACATATGGACTGGCAAAGCCTTTAAATGTACATAAATTTTCGGGATGGCGGCGTGAGTAATGAGCGCTTAATAAGGCGCCATTGGCATATTTTTAAGTTCCGGATGGAATACAGTGCATGTTTCATAATTTACATATTGCGAAAATATTTGTGCTCATTAAATATGCGCAAAATAAATGCGAACGTGCGACTGCAGCTGAAATTGTTACTCGCTGTTTGCAAAATTTCATAAATCACCGCTGTTAAAAACATTTCTGCCGCTGATGATGATGAGTTGTCCGGTGCTAGCCGGCGGCAATATCAACTGGCATATCCTGTGAAAGGCAATACTGTTTGGGGCGTGGGTTGCAGGAGGTGCTCGACCATCTGCCTCGCCTTGTTTACACATGTTCAAAACGCAAATGAGCCGTAAAGCAGTGATAATGCAACAAACTGACAATTGACGATTTAACACATTGAACGGAACACCATCCCCGACAACAACTTTAAAGTTTCCATACAAAAATTAAGTTTAAACAAAATTTGTACTACTTTTTCAAAAGAAATGAAGCGAAAAAAATCAAGAAGCATCAACTCATTCATACATATATTTTATTTTATTAAAACTAATTTTTTTTTTTAAATAAAAAAGTTAAATAATTTTAAGATTAATAGTATCAAAATCAGATTATGTATTCAATTTAAAAAAGTAAGCCAAAAAACAACAAAGCACTTATATTATTATTTTAAATGGTTTGAAAATTATTTGACCAAGCGACTATCAATAATTTTTACTATTGAACTAATGGTGTGAAAAATTAAACTTCAGATAAGCAAAATAAAACATTAAAATGGTTTTAAATCACCATATATATTTTTATCAGTATGAAAATGTAGGTCTCTTTGTAAATTTTGATAACGTAATATTTTCAAACTGATAATTGACATGGGTTGGTTTTGACAAATCTTAATTAAGCATGTGCGTTACCCATATTGTTTTAACTTGAAATTCGAGTGAGAGAGATTGACCCTCCGATTGACATTCATTTGATGGAATTTTTCGATGTGCACCTGACATCTGATTCAGGTTTCTGGGCCATCTGCTCATTGTTTTTCAGTGCCCCGACCGCAATGTTATTATTCTTTTTTCCGGCGTTGATAGAGTCATTCCATCCTTGAGCTCCTGTCTATATCAGTTTGCCCCGACCTGTCGGCAGCGTTAAAAAATATGCCAATAACACGGCCAGCTCGCCGGCATCGCAAATGATGCGTTCTCGTTTCAGAGGCGAATCAAAATGAGCTGCCTGCCAGGAGAGATAGCTCATGCATGTCGGCACTGGGCGGGAAAATGGGGCGGACCACGCCTCCTTCGGACAATGGCGCGAAATGTGTAACGGAAACCACAGCTGAGTGCACGGCAGTGAACGAGGGATCGAAGGATTGAGTCCAAGTCCGGACTCGAACCCGGATCTGGGTGCCGGTCCAGTAATGCGGACAATAAAATTTTAACGTAAATGTTGCGTAATTAAATGTGCTCGCCGCACGGCAGCGTAAAACGAGATTGAGATTGTTTTTCCTCCGAATTGACCGGCAAACAAAGGAGAAGAAAGATATGCCAGCCGGCAGTGGAGACCGTTTCGAATCTGTTTAAAGAGCACGCAGCATAACTCAGAACTTATTGGGGTTAATGGAAGTGGAAGTTGCACTGAAGTAAAACTACGATAATAAATTGCAAGAGTGGTTTTCTGTCAGGTCAAAATGGTGCCTTTCTTCAAGATTTGCATGTGCATAGCAGCCAACATTTTTTATTTAATTCGAGTTATTAAACAAAATGTTTTTAATGTACAATATGAATAGGTTGACCATCAGTTCAATTAAAAATATTACTTACTTACTTAACTTAGTTTTTGGATTGCGTTATTTTTTATTCATTAATTTTAAATAATTTATATAAGTTTATTCTTATTTTATATGAAAAATACAGCAATTGATTACAAATAATTGCAAAATTATATAACGCCTTAACTTTTTGTCCTAATTTGACCGCAGCTCTGGTTATTAACACTCTATACTAAAATGATTTTTAATTGTATTTATTTTATACATCCAACTTTGTGTATTTTAAATTGTGCTAAATTTTTATTTATTATAAATAAAATATTTTTTATAAGTTGGTGCTTTTTTATATGTCAACCTATTGCCAAAAACATTTTAATGTGGTTAGGCCAAATACAAATACAAATATCTACCAATTAATTACCAACTAAACCACTTTTATTAAATTAACCGCAGCTCTTGGTACTTTCTTTCTACCTTAAGCTGATTCCCAATTAAAGTCCTTGTTACCTAATCCCTTCCTCGGCGTAATCAAAATGGTGGCATACTTTTGGGCGCTGGAGCGGTAACCACAGAATATGCGCTGCGGTCGCGGGACAAGAATTGCGACGTCGTCATATCGATTAAGCCATCAAAACTTCGACCGCTTATTAATGCGCGTACATCAGCGCTAAAGTGCGGTCATAATTCAAATGGGCACCCTCTGTTTTCGGTCCTTGAAGTGCGGGAAGTGCGGGTCTCGGATCAATTGTTTGGCTAGCCGCGATGAGGAAGGTGAATCTGCTCAACCGCTGTACTCGAAAGTTTCTGTTTCTTATCGTGTTGGTGACCCAAATCTGCGGTGTCACCACTTTCGTCTACTGCTCAAGGAAGCAATGCTTCCGGCAATCCGGTATTCTGCGCTTGCACTCCAGCGTAATTCTTTCCATAACCACATTTATTCTCGTTTTAAACATAAGTCAAATGTTGGGTAAACCAAAAGAACTATGGCCCAGTTTGGTGGGAAGTATTGTGATCCTGGTGGTACGAGTGCATGGTTTTATGGAGAGTCAGGAGATCGTAAAGCTATTGAACGAAATGCATGGAATAGTGAGGCAGGTGAATGTCATGGCCAGACATCCGAATATCTTCCGCCTGAGACACCTGATGCTCCTCCTCCTCGGACTTCAGAATCTCCTGCGATCCCTCAGCATGTTGGTGGGATTACGCAACCTCTCCAGTGATGCATATGACACTTTGCTTAACAGTTTTTTGCTCCTGATTTTACTAGGAGTTCTTCTCAGCTTTCTCATCCAAGTCACCATCAATATTTGCCTTTTTGTGGTGCTCATTGCTTGCTACAACGAAATACACCTATGCACACGAAGAATCTCAAATGATATGGATAAACTTAGGCAATCTGAAGTCCTCAGTAGCGGACAGTTTCTGGTCTTGGTGAAACAACTTCAAGGGATCACTAAGAGGTTGATTCAACTGCGTTCGAAAGTTTTTCATCTGACACTTCGGATTATCCAGCACTTTCGGTTCAATTGGCTATGTACCATCGTCTACGGGCTATTACCCTTTTTGTGCTTCACTGCTATTGATTGGGATGGTTTTTATTATCTCACTATTTCTGCACTGAACTTAATATTCCAGTGTACAATATTTAAGATTCTGTCATGTGAATCAAGGGTGACCAGGAGTTTTTGCAGTTTTCAGTTGGGCAACTATCACAAGGAAACCGACAGAACCGTGAGTAGGTATTATATTTTAATATAAAATGTAAATAATTTCCATCAAAAATAGATTGACGAATTACTCCATCAGGAAATCAGGGAACGCATCAGGATCAACATATATGGCATTACGCTGGACACGAAATTCCTTTTAAAAGTGCTGTCCATTTGCGTGTTCTGGGTGTTTGTTAACCGACAAGGATACTTGCACTTTCAAAGCCCTCAATAGATACTGCCATTTAACTGTCCAATTAAAGTCGCTGTTCTTGCCAAAATTTCGATAATTTCGCTATTGTCTATTATTAGCATTAGGGCTGTCATATTATCGCAACTGTTGTGCGGGGCAATGTCAATTGCACAAGTCAAAAACTGTCTCATAGATGCCTTTCGAGATACTTTGCCGGCAATTACGTAGCCGTTTCATTGTTCCTTCAGCTCGAACAAGCTTCATAATATTTTCACTTTTATGGCAGGCAACATAAAAGACGACAGCTCTGGCAATAGCAACAACATCATCATTATCAACACCATCAAAGCCCGGAAAATTCCACCTTCTTCGAGTCCTCCCCCATTCGCCCCTGATCCCCCTCAATTGTCATAAAATCATAGGAAAAAAGAAAGGGAGGCAGCAGAGGCGAAAAGTGTGAGTGCGTAAATTTCTCTCTGGACTTGGAGTCGCTCAAGTGTCCTTCCATTCTGAGTCATAAAATTAACGCTTTATATGAACGAAAGCATAAGGCGCTCGATTTTTATCACCAAGGCCAACAAGATGGCCATGAACGAATCCGGAACATGGAACTGCAGTGAAGAAAAATTATAGACTTATATTTATTTGAACTACTCAGAAAGTATTTCTGTTGAGACTTAATAATATATGTTGAGTATTGTTATGTAAACTTTTAAGGGTAATTATGGTTCTAGCAATGTATCATTTCCTAAGTAACCTTTAGGACCCTTATACCAAATACAAAAATGTCTGGGATAAGTCTTTTTTTACTTACCTTGTATTCCATTAAGTAATAAATATTTTAAAAAATATATAAGGAACTATTTACGGTATTATTAAGCATTTATGAAGTTTTAAACATTTAAAAATGTGGCATCTCCACTAATTATAGTACCGGACTATTTTCAAAGAAATTTAGATTACCAATTTTACCCTGAAATCTTTGTTAACTTACAGTTAAGTAAAAGAATATTAAGAAGATATTTATTTGTAATTTTTTAATAATAAATTTCATTAATTTTTTGTAATATTTTCTTTCTGCAAGTTATAATCTTTTAAGAGAGTAAAAAGTTTAAAGTTAAATTAGAAAAGCAGGAAGTGGAATCCAAGGGCTTGAAGAGATGGCCCAACGAGTGTGTAATTATTTACATGCAATGCAAGTTATGAATTGGGGCCATCCAAATCGGGGCAAGTAATAATCCGCACAGCCCTGTGCCTTTACTGTCTGGGTTGTGTCAGATGTCTGGGAACGAAGTTAGTCTGGTTTCGTAGACAGGCCCTTAAACACATTCTCGTGTTGTGTCTATGTGTGCAATCTTTATTCCAAGTGCTCTGAAATTTCAATAGCGTCCAGTGGTTACCAGGCGTGTTATAAATTTGTTTCAGTAAACTAGACAATTTACGAACATCCTCGACAATGCTCACGGCCAAGCAGACCGACTTGAAGATGATGGACTGCGGCACGGAGATGCTGCCCGAGTCGCGTTCGAGCTCCAATACGGATCTGAATACTCTGGCGGAGATGGATCTGCGCAGGCCCCTCAAGGAGATCGTTGATCTGCGCTTGAAGCATCCTCTGGAGCACACCTGGACGCTCTGGTACCTGGAGAACGATCGCAGCAAGTCCTGGGAGGACATGCAGAACGAGATCACTAGCTTCGATATGGTCGAGGACTTTTGGAGTCTGTACAATCACATAAAGCCACCATCCGAGATTAAAGTCGGCAGCGATTATTCTTTGTTTAAGAAGGGCATACAGTGAGTGAAACATTATTTATTTGTATGTTTTTACTAAATTAAATAAACAGCAATATGTTTCTGCTACCGAACTGATTTGGTAACCAGATCAGCTTAACAATTTCAAAATTTTCTCTGGACTTAAAAGATTTTTCTTTATTATAAGTAAACATTTCAGCAACTTGAATTTAAAATTTAAATGGAGTTGCATTCGATATCGTTTCATCTTATCTATCCCTTTTACTCTTGCCTGTTCTGTTTTTCTTTCAGGCCCATGTGGGAGGATGATGCCAACAAGTTTGGCGGCCGCTGGGTCATCAATATGGGGCGTGGCTCCAAACTGGAGCTCGACAAACTCTGGCTGGATGTGGTAAGTAGCCAGAGGAGCTTTGTGTCCGTCGACTGTCATATCTGTTGCAACTGAACAACCTCTTTTCCGCCCACTGACAGCTACTCATACTGATTGGCGAGGCCTTTGAGCACACTGAAGAAGTCTGCGGCGCTGTTATCAACTTGCGCGGCAAGAGCAACAAAATTTGTAAGTAAAACGCAAAAAAAATTGATTTTGAAATATTCCATTTGAAAAATTTTCGAAACATAGTTATTGTTTTATAACATCTTAATTATGTTACTTATGTATTATAATTCCCAACTGGTTCTAGCTCAGCTTTTTCGTATTCTTAGTCAACAACTGTTAACTCTTAATGGTTATTGGTACATTTCTTTTTAACGCAGACCTGATGAAATATATTTAAAAATTTTATCTTTTCTGGTGTTCATTTTAATTATTGATAAGAGCCAACTTTTTTTTATATTTTAACAAGTACAGCCAGGGTACTAAGAGACATTTAAAGATATCTTACTTTTTTTTTTGCAAGTGCCCTCTGCGTCACTAGCCATTGAACAGTACCATGACAACTTCTAACGCAGAGCCTCTATTCCGCCAGCAATTTGGACCGCCAACGGGCACAACGAGCTGGCCGTCATGGAGATTGGACTCAAGCTACGCGACCTGCTCGTCCTGCCGCCCCACCAGCTGCAGTACCAGCTGCACAAGGACTCGATGTCCAAGCAGGGATCGGTGGTCAAAGCGGTTTATTGCGTGTAAGCCGCCCTGGTCGTTGATGCCCCCAACCAACGTAAAACAACCAACCAACCCACATCCACTTCTTCCATGGCCGCCACCGTCGGTTGCTGTTTTCAGCGCGTGTATTCCAAAAACGTAAAAAAAATGTATCTTGACACAGAACGGGTTTTATGAATTTGACCATGTTAAAAATTACAAAACAAGCTGTAAATATATAGGGTTCTATATGTGACAAGTCGGCGTTAAATTTCTAGGCTTTAAGGACTGAAGTCGAGCCCCAAGGAGCTCTTTTTATGCCGCTAGTTTGGGCTCTTTACGCTCCACGAAATGTTATGCAAACATATGCCGCACCAGAGCGCAAATAAAATGGTTTATATACACTTGCAGTTTGTACTTTTGGCCGGGCCAACTAGAAGTGCACAGTGACTGCAAAAGATAAACGTCCACTTGGCTCGCTTGGCTGGCCGAGCGAAAAACAAAGGACCGAAAAGGGTCAACAATGGCACGCGGATTGTCCGTTTTAGCGGGAGCCGTTTCCAGAGCTGGATCTCTGGGATCTGGTATCTGGCACTGGCGTCGAGGGCCCCGAACTGGAGACAATTGAATTTTGATGAAAGGCCGAAACGGTGGTGCCTCCCCCAGCATTAAAATTCATGCTAAGTGCTTCGAGTTGCTTGAAAGAGGGGCTCTTTAACTTGAACATGGGTAATATTTATGTAATAAAATGGTTCTTTAAAAAATGTAAATTATTAAATAACTTAAACCTTTAAATAGTTCAACTCGAAGCTGCACGTCAAGCGGTGCAGACGTGTAAATTAATATGCCCTGAGGCCAAAATGTAAAAAACGTTCTATTTAAAATTTAGCTTTCAACAAAAAACCCCATCGACCTCGAGCTGGCTAACAACACCCTTAAATAATACATTGTATAGGTTTGTCAAGATTTTTGAATTATTTATTCAATTAATCTTTGTGCTATTCCTGGAAATTTTCAAATTTATTTACTAAGTACTTCTTTTTCAGTTCTTTAAGTCCATAATAAAGCTAAGGGGACTTAAAAGCGGTTGATCCTTTGACAAAAAAAGAAACAAAAATCCCTTCTGTATCCGTATTTCTCTGAACCAGAGGTCACCTGGCCTTTCAATCAACATTCAAATTCCGATGGCAGCAGCACGTGCAGTAGCAACTTCATTATGAGCCACTTTAAGCTGACAAAACTCATCTCTATCCGCATAGCTCGTTGACTGCATTTTATGGGTCCAGGTGGCGGCGGCTTACATGGGGAGCTGTTAAACCGAAACCGCATCAAAACCGCACACGTCCCACATGGCATGCAACTGCCTTCACCTGTATTTTAGCCCACCTCTTGCACCTGCCCACCCACTTCGCGTTCTTGCACCTTTGACATATTGCAGGGATAGAGGTGGTTTGCTGGTGGAGCAGCCCAGACCCACACAACACCGCAAACTTTTTGCCTTCAGACGAATATTTACAAATTAGTTGCTGGAAACGTGACATCGAGAATGTTGTTGCACTTGCAATTGGAGTTACATGGTAACTATCTGGCTTTGGGCCGTGCCTTTCCAGAAATGTAGGTAAAAACTTTGGCAGCATGCAACTTAATTAGCACATAAATAAATTATGCTGCCATTAGATGCTTTTCGACACGTCTGGGTGAAGACCAGAACTTCTCAGATTAAAAGCATATAATTTGTGTTCCTAAAAAACAGCAAATTTTATAAGAGGATGTCACCACTATCATATGATACATCCATTTAATTGGAATCACGGACAATCACATTGATTTTTTTTATTTGTTGTAGTTCTAATATAAAATTGCCAGATTAAATCTGCAACCGAGTGAGGGCCAACCATTTTAGCTCGCTTATAGACTGGTATAGATCTATCACCCCATCACTCTCTACCTCCACGTTGGCCATGCATATATCAACACTTTTCATATGGCCAACACAGACCACATTGAGCTCCAGCTTTGGTTTTTATGGCCACACCAGCTGGACAAGCACTACGGCAGCACCACCCGGAAAACCACCCATCCACCTACACACTACACACTACACACTTCCTTCCAATTCTGCTCAGCTTTTGTTTATTTTGTGTATTGTTGGGAGTCGCGCGTTTGCTGGTTGTAGCTCTTTGGGTTGGGTTTGGCTTGGTCTTTTTCTCTTTTGGCAAAACAACACTACACAACATAAAAATAAATTGCACTTCTGACACTTGAATACAGTGGAGGAGTTGGGGAAGGAGTGGGATTGGAGTTGGATTCGGGAGTGGGAGTGGCGATGGAGATGAATCTGGAATCGGAGGAGAGTTTGGGGGGCAGCTGCTACTGTTTGGGCAGCGACACATGATTAAGTGGAGTTTGCGGTTGGCTTTGTTTGGGGAATACGCATGTAAATCTATTTGGGTATACATTATCGTCGTCCAGTTGAAGCTTAACTTTTATCATATAATAAAATGTAATTTTCCAACTCGTAACTCTCTGGTAATTAGAATTTATAGCGAACTTAATCGCTTTTGGCACGCAGACTAAGTGACGGAGGGTGGATCTAGTGCCGGATCTGCTATCAGCATTTATATCATTAATTTACGCAAGAAGAGAATTTCATTAGCCGCCTAACGGCAAGGCATGCAACAATTTTTGTGCAATTCTCGCCAAAAGGCATCACAGTATTTCCGCTCGTATCAAACAGCCAGACCGCATCAATGCGGAGCATTCGAAATGAAATATTAATTTCCAAAATTCCTCAGCCCGATTCGCCTGGCTCTTCACAAATTTTTATTATAAATTAATAAGAATTTATGGCGCAAACAAAAATGAAAACGAATTTACCAACCGCAAGGCCTGGGATTGTACTTTTGAGTTCACCTTCAAAGAGGCCCGAGAAACGGCAGGAGACGACAGCCAGCCGAGATATTTGTCTACAAATATTATTGCTATTCGAAATGTGTAGTAGCTGCTGCGCCCTTGGGTTCGTTTGTTCGTTTGGGCCAAAAAATTCCTGGCTGGCAAATATGCAGGAAGAATGCCTCTCCTCCACCGCCTGCTAATGGCAAAATTCAGTGAGATAAAGGCCAGTTCGGAGACTCAACCTATCCCCCCTACCTTCCCCCATATAATTCTTAATATTTCGCTTCATAAATATGTAAATAAATGCCGACACGGGGGCGGCCGAGGAGGGAAAGACAAAAGAAATCTTGGCCTGCTCTCCTGTACTTTGTTAGCCATTTCCCAACGAAGATGTTCGGGTGATAGAAACTATAAAGGAATCCCGCAAAAACCGCACGGAACTCACAACGGGATATTAAGCACAAAAGTTGGCCACAAAGATTTTCGGATCGAGCCAACTTAATGAAATAAAGCACTCGCTTAGCACACACACACATACTATACACATTCGAGGACCCGAATCCGAATCCGAGTCCACGGCCAGGACCTTAACCTAAAGCATAAGAAGTCAGTCATGAAAAGCGTACGTGAGCAATGAAAAAGTCGCAAACACTTTATTATACGTGGCGCGAGGAGATGTGGAGGGTGATGGGCTGGCGGTGGTGTGGCAGCCACATCAAAATGCTACGCGGCGCGTATACGAAATAAGTCCTATGTAGATGCAGTCCAACAACCCCCCCACGCCCATTACTCATACGCCGCGTCATTGTGCCGCAGTCAGATAAAGACCGAGGGCGAAAGACAAAAGATGGCCACGGGACGCAGGACACGGGACACTGGACGGAGCGGTGGGTGGAAAGGGGAGGGCGGAGGTGGCAGGACACCAAGGACGAAGCGATGGCAATGCACATAATGGCACAGCACCCGCTCCCTGTTAGCCGCTTGGTGCGTGAGCTAGGTATTTTGGTATTTTAAACATGTGCCCGGCAGCTAATGCATAGTTTATGGGTCTCTGGGCCTATGGCCAAAAGTGTTGGTCAAATTTGGTCAGCGATTTGAGCGTCCTCCCAAGGCGCTTGTGGGCTAAACTGATGGCCTAACTTTAACTAAAGCGTACAATCAACTAAAATTGTGCTAAATAAACAAATAAAAATGGTACATCTTAAATGATAGTAAGACAAATCTAATAACCTTTTATCTAAGGCAGTATTTTGCTATGGATTTCTGTAGCCAAATTTTATTCCTACATTTTTCTTACACTTTTTTGCTCAGTCATTTTAGGATGACCGAAGCATTTTCTTTCAAATTTAACATTGTACTGCTTAAAATATTCCAAGAGATGGCTTCCATTCTTAGTAATACAATTTATACATATAGTTTATTAGCTGAGATAAGCTTTAGTTAAAATTAATTTCCATAATATTTGATAATAACTTTATCTTTGTAATTATATCAGCCAATAAACCGATGTCTATTAAAACAAATGTCCATCTCCGCAGTTAGGTGAAAACTTTTGCTTTTAATTTCACACACAATCAATTTGTGTTTATTAGCTCATTATAAACATTTTGAGGCTGCCGAACACCTTCTTTCACTTGGCAGTCCCGGCACGTGGGTCGTATACTTAATTTGCTTAGTCAACGAAGCAAATCATTGACCGACCAGCCTTTGCAGGACGTGCGTGAGATGGTTAAGGATTTATGGAGAGGCCCAGACAAATTTTATAATTTGAACAACAACCAAAGGCGAACGGCGAACGGCGAAACTACAAAGTGCACTAATTTGAGGTGTTGAAATGGCCCAAAGCAGATCCGCAGCATGAATCCCAGCCACAGGCTTTTGATGTGCACTCAAGGGTTGAAAGGTGGTATAATCAAATCAACGTCTGGACCTGGATCTGAACCCTCGAAAAGGTTTATTTGTTTTCTTGGAAGTCTCTTTGTTTGGCCGTTTGTGGTCATGTTTCTGGTCCGACACTTAGTTGGCATGCCAAGCACATATCCACAACTTGAGTGGGATTTTGCAAATCTCTGGGTTTCGTCCTTCTTATTAAGTGTCACTTGGCATAATTTAAATATATAATCCAGTACGACTCATATTCTTTTTAATAAATATGCAAATAGCACTTTCACAGAAACGCGAATTTCTTCGCTCAAGTTTTGTTTTCCAAATTTCATGTAATTTGAGTTTGAGTTGCTTGTAGTTGTTTATTATTTTCCCTTCTGGTGAAGTTGCGTCTAGACATTTTAAGCGCGTCAGAGATTATATGAAATTCATAAGCGACACTTTGGTATGAGGTTGGTTCTTTGGGGACTTAAAATA